TTAACAAGTGCTCTTTAATGCACCGTTTGAGTGTATAGTGAGCTAGATCCTTTCCTTTATAGCGATAACAAGAATAAAAACCAAACAAACAAAAAATAAAAAAATAAAAAAAGCAACATTCAAAGCACCATTTTAAACAAGAGATAAAGCAATAACTAGTTGAAAAATCAATTTTAAAGTAAAAAAAATCCTTCCTTATTTGTTAACTTTATTTGCTAGCTTTATTAACGGACAAACTCCAAAAAGCACTGAATATGAACAACATGAAAGCGTTAGCTTTTATTGCGACTATTAGGAAGTGCTAAAGCAAGCTATGCAGATTAAACATTTTGGAAAATTCACTTGGTCGCTTTTGATGTTGTTGCTGTTGCTCTTTTTCCTGGTCCCTTTTTTGTTGTTTCTTGCTGTTTTTGATGTTTTTAACTTGTCCCTTGTGTTTCGTGAATCGTGGAAGAGGTCTTCTCTCGTTTATTGTTTTCCTATCCAAAGAGTCCAGCCGAGTTATCATGAATATCTTGATGGTTATAGTACTTTTTAACAGTTATTGCTGTTGTCCTCAGCGGCCTTCGACGTCATTGATGTTAGGTAACATACAGGAAATGTATGAATGGCAACTGCATTACTTGAAGATATGGTAAGATTATCACCAAACAAGGTCATATATTTTTGATGTTGTTCTGCAGAAGATTTCGTACTACCAATTAAACAAGTGCTCTATTTATTTTTCCTTTTCGCTTGTAACATAGATAAAATTACTCGTTCAATTAAAAGCAGTCCTATGTGTTTTAGTTGCCCAAGTAGCCGAAACATCATCTTTCCCAATTAAATGGAAAAATGTTTTCTTCATGGCTTGTCTCAATTCTCTCAGTTTCCAGCAATAGATAAGAGGATTGCAGACAGAGTTTATGTACATAAGAGGAATTGATATGGTCCAGCCATGCATATAGAAAATAGTATGGCCTACAAGTTGATGATAGAAAGAAAACATTATAAAAGAAGCATACAAAATGAAAAATACCAGTATTAAGTATATGAGAGTAGAGACAGTGCTCTTGTAACGGGATAAGCTCGAAAACGTTTTTTGCTGTGGGCTGTTCATTTGAACATGTATTTGATTCTTGTGATGCTGTACAATTCTGAATATCTTGTAATGGCAAAAGACAAACAAACCCATACAAGGAATCATCACCGATAAAACAAGAACGTCGTATATAAATACATCAATGAATAGAGACATTGAAACAATGAACGATCCAATCCAAGTAGAAATACAAGTCCGAATAACACGACCATTCGTTACCATTGAACGGTAATGAAGATGAAGTCTTAGGGCAAGAAAGCGATCCAAAATCGCTAGAGTCAGCGTAAAGAATGATGTTCCACTGACAATCGATCCCAAAGACATGGCACTGTAAGCCAAGGAGCACACGATGCTTGGCTCGCCAGAGTTCATTTCGTAAAGCTTCCAAGTAATCATTAAAGGAATTGCAATGACAGCAACAGAAAGGTCCGACAAAGCAAGGTTACAGATACAGATGTTTGAAGGGTTGTGAAATGTTGGTCTCCGCCAGATTGTCAGTAATATTAACGCATTCAATAGCGCTGTTGGTACGATAAGCAGTCCCATTATCACAACTGAAAACAAAGAGCTGCCTTTAAGTTGTTCTCTATGGATGTACCACAATAGGTAGTGGGTACAATTTGGAGACCACATTTGTCCGGCAACAGGAGGCGCTATAAACACAAACAGTTCAACAAATCAACATAAATGTGGAATATTTAGCTAAAACGATATTTTTGCTCCTTACAAAAATTAAGAACTAAACTTTCCTAAATGAATACTTTCATTGTGAAAGAACATAGTTAATAGTTAACTATGGAAAGAAACAATAAAAACAATGCTCTTAATAAATAATCTTCCTCTACGCAACGCGTTTTAAATACTCTTTGGACAGCTGAAAAAAGACTTACAGAAAGCCAGTAGCGTTGTGCGATGGCAATAACCAAATTTCGGAAGTTACTGTTTCGTTAGAGTGAAAAGAAATACAATAACATTTTTAGATCATTTTGTCGCAAACGAAGCTGCATTATACATGTCTTCATGATTTCTTCGGCAGCTGAAAACCATATTACAGATGAGTTAAACATAAACACCAATTACATAACCAATATCGTCATAATCTATGCATTGGCGCACGCGGATGTTACATACAGAGACAGGAAGTTTAATTATCTTCCTCAGTAATTTCAGTCGAATGTTTAATAAGCCGGGATATAATAATACAGGGATAATTGAATGAAGAAACCGACGTTGAGTAAACGGCTATTTTCATAATTTCTCTTCAATTGCAGAAAATGTGCGCACACATTTTTAGTCGTTTAAGAGAAAGTATAAAAATCTAAGAATTTGACACTGGATAGACCAGAAAATAAAAGTTTTCAGAACAAAACAGAAAAAAAAAGACAAAAAAAAAACAAACAAAACAAAACAAAAAAAAAAAAAAAAAAAAAAAAAAAAAAAAAAAAAAGAAAAGAAAAGAAAGAAAGAAAGAAAAGAAAGAAAAAAAAAGAGTAAAAAAAAAGAACAACAACAAACAAATATAACAAAACAAAGCAAACATCAAAAATTCAAGCTTCAAGATTCAAGATTCTTTGAATGTTTGCTCAACTGCCGCCGCCGTGTGTGTAAAATATAGATATAGAGGATATTACACGCGCGCGCGGAAATTTTATCTTCCAGAAAAATCTCTCACGAGTGAGAGTACCTGTATCAAAAATGTGATATTTCCAATAATTGCAAATAATTACAAAAGTAAGAAATGTAAGTATTTTATGTACAATTGCATGATTATAGCAAAGATAGTCCAAACATTTGGGAAAACAAAAACAGCAACAACGACCTTACATAGACAAACAAGCAACAGCAACAAAAAAACAAGCAAACAGACTAGCAAACAACAACAACAACAACAACAACAAAACAAACAAACACACACACAAAACAAACCAAAACATAAGGGGACAGTTGTGCGGTAAAAAAAATAAAAACCAAACAATAATGGCAAAGACATGCGATGACTCATTTATACCTAAGCTAACACAAATCTTATTATTTTTCCACAACCTTATTAAAAAGCGACTGCCATAGACTGTCATAAGGTTTGTTGACATTTCCAAACACTTATTCTGTTGTTCTCAGCTAACATCAATTATGTACTCATACATTTTAATTCAACTACGAGAGAAGTATCAACAATGTATTGCAAAATAGTTACAGCATACAGTTGTATTTGCTCAAGGTCAGGAAATAAAGCTAAGAAACTTTTATTGAGCTTGTTTTTTTGAAATTTCCGTTGAATTCATTGAATGTCCCTTGTTCTGTTAATAGTACTAAGTCTTGAATTATTCCCCATCTCTGCAGAATTCATATCTTTTCCAATAAACTGAAAAAGCGTTTTCTTCACAGCACGCCTCAGTTCCCTAATCTTCCAACAGCAGATTACAGGATTCAGAGCCGAGTTCAAATATATAAGAGTAACCGAAATTGCAAATCCTCTCATGTAATATATCGTATGCCCTTGGACTTGATGGTATAACGAAAACAGGCTATAAGGCGCAAAAAATATAAAGAAAAATACAAATAAATACAATAATGCACTAGCACTTTTCTTATAACGAGATAAATTCGGGAAGGTTCCTTGCTGTTCGACGTTAGAAGTCTGATTATGAATCTGGTTTTGGTGGTGATGAACAGCTCTGAATATCTTGTAGTATGCGAAAAACAAGAGAGACATAGATGGACCAAGAAGAGATGCTATCAAAAAGTCATATACATCCATACCAATGAAAATCACCATCGCAATTGTGGACGATGAAAACCATGTCAGTATACAAGTTGTAATGACGCGAGCATTCGTTACCACTGAGGGGTACTGAAGGTGAAATCTCAAGGCTAGATAGCGGTCCAAAATAGCTGAAATAAGTGTTAAACTTGAGGCCCCACTTACGGTAGTACCAGCAACAATTGCGCTATAACCCAAATAACACGCAATTTCTGGATCTCCAGAAGTTTGTTCATAAAGTCTCCAAGTGATGGAGAGAGGAATTCCAATAACAGCAACGGTTATGTCTGATACAGCTAGGTTACAGATGAAGATATTGGACGGAGTATGGAAAGCTGGCTTAGACATGATAATGTACAAGATCAAAATGTTCATAAAAGCAATTGGTACAACAAGAAGTCCCATTATAACAACACAGCACAAGGAAATGCCACTAAGTTGTTCTCTGTAAGCATACCACAGAAAGAAGCTACTGCAGTCAACAGGAGACATATTGCTCAACCTTACAGGCTTGTCGATAACGTCGTAATGATTAATCGGGCATACAATACATTATAAACCTTGTCAATCCAGTCTTCACCAAGTTCAACCAAGGGCATCGAACCAGAAACGTCACTCGAGTAAATATTAGAGTATAATCCAGGAAAATTTGCATTTGCAAGTAAGCAGGTGCAAAAAGAACAGTATGCTGTCCGTTTTCTTTAGTTTATGTCATGAGTTCAAAACCACACTGTGATTCCAAATCCTTAATTTCACTGATTTTCAGTGATTGTAGTGAATTCATTGGAGCTMATTTTTAAGGACAATCAAGCGAAATTTATCAAAACCGAACATTTCTAACACATTTCAAGAACCCTGATACAAAAGAACACCGCTTTGACAAAAATGGCAACGCTAGCCGAAAATACAAAAAAAAAATCACAAGATATTGGAAGTGTGTAAGCGATATTGTATTCATCTTTACTGGTGATTGCCGGCGATCTAATGTTACAACATCTCTTCAAAAGAAATTAAAAATCCTTGATAAAAATTGACACCGCTCTGCAAAAATTGTCACTGCTAGTCCAAAATAAACGAACCTTATTATTGGTCACGATTTAAATAAAGCAAGCTTCCTATACGCTCGGTTTGATAGTTCAGTCTTGGCAACGCACAAGCCATTTAATCTGTTTGGCTAGTCGTTTTTTTTCTTTCTTGGGCCAAATGAATGCTGAGAGGTCCTTAACTTTTTAGATATTACGTGTGCGTTTTCATTGTGATAGGTCTTACGTAATGAATGAATTATCATAGAAGGCAGGCGACGTGCCAAACTGTTTACCAAACGAAGAAATCCAATTCAAGCCGATCTTATAAAGATTGAAGACATTTCCAATGTACCAAGTGACTTATGAAAATAAGTGTGTTTTAGTAGAGAAATGACCATGTAATTTCAAAATTCTATATGGACATTGGATAATTTTGCGTACCGAAAATAAATATTATATATCAAGACACGTGACAATAGGCCTTTTTTAAGATAGCAGTTTGCATTGCATTGTGGTCTAGAATCGGTAAAAAACATATTTTGTTCATGCTGCCAAACATGGCGTTGTTTGTACTGAAGTTAGACCAAAATGAACTTTAATTTTGTATATCAGGAAAGTTCTATGGGAACATTGGAAATGCCTTTTTTTATGACGACCTTTTCAAGGTCGCCTGTATCTTTGTACAAAGTTTTAAATATTTATAAACAGTCCATCAAATAATAAATATTCGTGTGAACATAGAAAGTACAATCCCAACAATTTCATTATTTCATTACTTTATCTGTAAAGGGTTAATAAAGGTCTACAATGCTATCATGCGTAATAAACTAAAAGGAAAAAGCAAGTAAGATCATCGATGGTGACCCGCAAGCGATTTTCAGCACTTTTAAAATTCGAATCACATTTGCATAAAATTATACATTAGCAATATGATCATTATTTGTATAAAAGGTTGAGTTATTCAGTGCACAGATACTCATATACGTAGAATATATTCTATTCATATTCTCCCACGCTACTTTTTTTCGGTATTAGTTTTGATGTTATAACCTTTTGGAGCCCGACAACGTTTTTTAAATCACGGCCAAGACATATGAATAATAGACCATAGCACTGATTTAGATCTTAAAAACACGATTAGTAGAAAGTGCTAATGGAAGTATAATAAAATTCATATCTTTACTGAACTTCAGTTGATAACGCATACACAGAAACGTGAAATGTTTAGSGAAAAAAAGAAAGAAAACGAACAAACAAACAACAACAACCGCTCCTCTAAATCTTTATTTCTATGAGTTATCTTTTTTTGTTTGAGTTCAAAATCTAATTTTGACAGAAGATCTTCTGTTCCTCCCCAAAAAACAATGATAATACACTTTGCGTGATATTATAATTCCTCTTTTCAGAATAGGTTCTCGTCAAGAATATTACCAGGCTCTATAATATATTAATTTACAATATATGCGAAGAGTAAGATTTTCTTCAAATTTGAATTTAAATATTTTACGGGAAACTGTACTTTTTTACTATGTTTTCTCAAGATGAAAAAATATAGATATCGCTCGTATTTTTTAATGACCTCAACATAGTAATTATACGGTGAGAAACACTACATGGCAGCTTTTGATGTTCAATTTTAAAACTGTCATGAGATCTCTCAATTACAGCAACACTTGTCAAGTATGTTTGCGAAGATTTTCGGTTTGATACAGTTATGTATTAATAACCATTCTTATTTCATGTGTACACCTTGCAACCAATGCTTTAATAGGGCGTCAAACTGTTCAAGTTCTGTTCGGTGTTCATATAAATGCTCACTTGCGGACCATGCAGCGTTTTGGAAACCGATTGATCAACATATGCTCTTGTTTTATTTGCGAAATTGTAAGCATAATCTGAATCTGCCGTTCATTGAAAGGTGTTCCCAGCTGTTTCAGTAGCCCACGTAACGGAAACGTCATCTTTTCGGATGAACTTGAACAATGTCTTTTTCATAGCCCGTCTCAAGTCCCCAAGCTTCCAGCAACAAATTAAAGGATTGACAGCAGAGTTGAAGAAGAGCAGAAGTATAGATATTGTCCATCCATGCATATAGAGCAATGTAGGGCCTCTTACTTGATGATAAAAGGAAAATCCCACGATAGGAGAATACAAAATAAAGAATACAATTAGCAAGTATGCCAGCGCTGAGACTGTTTTCTTGTAACGGGAAATATTCAGAGACGGTCCTTTTTGAGTGTCGTTATTCTGGGCATGAATCTGGTTTTGGTGGCGGTGTACCACCCTAAAAATCTTATAGTAAGAAAAGAAAAGTAAGATCGTATATGGTATCATAACTGATATCACAGCGAAGTCATATACAGTTATACCAATAAAAACAGCTATTGCAACCGAGAGCGATGTAAACCATGTACAGCCACAAACCATAGCTACTCGACGTTTTGTTACCACCGAAGGGTAGCGAAGGTGTAGGCGTAGAGCCAGATAGCGATCCAAAATGGCTGAAATCAGAGTAAGACACGAAGCCCCACTAACAGTAGTTCCTGCAACTGTCGCGCTGTAAGCCAAAGTGCAAGCAGTGTCTGGATCCCCGGACATTAGGTCATACACTTTTGAGGAAATCCATAGAGGAATCCCAATAACAGCAACCGCAATGTCGGACAAGGCGAGATTGCAAATGAAGATATTTGAAGGACTTTGAAATGCTGGTTTACGCCAGATCGTCAGCAATATCAGAGCGTTAGAAACGGCTATCGGCATACTAAGAAGTCCAGTTGTTATGACAAAGCACAAAGAGCTTACTTTAAGCTGTTCTCGATGGGTATACCACTGCATTAAGTGGCTGCAATTGCCAAATGACATGGTGTTATCCTTTGGGAATTATAAACCCAATAGCTAGTAACAGGAAAAGTAAATTAGCAATTAAACTGAGAGGTTTGATCAATGGAACCCTTTTAAAAATCTGAAGTTTTCCTTATATATGTCTTTTCGTCCGCTAGGGTTTGTACGCTTCCACAGCAGCTGCGAAATCAATGTGTTCACACTTCAGAAACGATACATATATTTGATGGCAAACAGTGGCCACGCTCCTTATGGATAATTGCTTCTCAAAATATGTCAGACACAATGTAGCCAACAGCCTTGAAGTACTGGAGAGGAATAGATTTAAATATCTTGTGAAATTATCGTCATATATAATGATGTTGTCATTGATATACGTAAAATATGGCTTATCTAAACATGCTCGGGGAAAGCAATTCATAATGCCGTCAACATGGCTCTTTGGATGGAATATCATTTCATACTGTACGAAAAGACAAACAGACGTCTAATATCCGCAAAGGTAAAGCAAAATTGCGAATTAACCTCAAACTGTGACAGAAAGTCACCACGATTTTGATTGGTTTTAATTGCAAAGCGATCACAAGAGATCATTCACAAAGATATTGATTATGAATACATAAAGGAAGTGTAAACAGTGAATTTCTGTAAATACCATCGATTACAAGCCATGAGGGATTATCACAGAACGATGATTATATTGTCTTCACGTAAAAGTTATTTATATTGGATATTCCTTGATAACTAAAAGGCAAGATATCTCTCTATATAGTTTTAATAACACGAATTGCAATCCATTGGCCTACCTCGATTAGTTTTTTTTTTCTATACCGATAGAATAATAATCAATTGTAAATATATACAAAATGCCAATATATTGAAATTGAGAATTGAAGATGTATATAAGGTAATAATGATATTTCAGAAGTAGTAAACAACCGCTCGTTTTATTTATTTATTTATGTTTTAAGATTCGTTGATGAATCTTGACATTATTCTAGTTTTGTTACAACAAGGAATTTATCGATTACATTCATCTTTTGAAAATTGACATTTCGTAGGTTTGATTATTCAGTTAAAAAATTAAAACCTATGACCAAAAAGGAAAGAAAGACAATAAACAAACAAACAAAATAAATGAAAAGAAAAAAAAAAATATTATAGACTTTCTATTAGAGCCTTGATCAATGTATCAATGATTGTTGATCAATGTAAAAAAAAAAAAAGAAAAAAAATCCATTTGATGGCTTGCACTGCCTGCTCAATTCTGCTTATTCTACTTACTGATCCAAATATATTTTAAAAGCACTACCACTATTTTTCCACCGTGAACTTTTTAGTAACTAATAAAATAAACGACAAAGACAAAAAATTACGACGTTTCGAGATCGACATGATCTCATTCTCAAGTGATATATTTTATTTGCTGTAGTTTATTATATTAGTTATTTCCAAACCTTTGCTGATCAAGAACTTTTTAGTATCAGGATTACCAATATAGTGACATGTGTGTCAAAAAGAAAGAAAGAAAGCAATGAAAAATTATATACTACGGTTTTGATTAGATTTATTTTTCTAATCATCGTCTTCGAAGGAATTAAAAAAAGAGGACAATTCTTTTAAAAGTACAACAAGAAATTTAGAGCATCGGACTTAAAGTGAGAAATAGGTGGGTTGCGGGAAAATTCTCCCTTTTTCCATCCCTTCAATCCGCCTCTGGTGACTTAATTTACAGGCTCAACTGCACACGGAAACAGCGTCAGATAGTGAGGCCTTTGACAATGCATGGGAAATATTTCACGGAAAACAGCTGCCGCACAATGCATAGGACGACGTGCTTTCATTTCTTATAGGAGAAGTATTGTGTTGCAAAGTCCTTTTTGTGATATTTTCAAGATTGGCATTGCCATGAAATAGCATTTGGCAATGTGTTCCAGCGAATGTATTCTCGCAAAACACTGAAGCCATAGAAGAATCCGATAAAAAAAAAAATATAGAAAACAATGTATGAGTGTGTAAGTAAAGCGCACTTCAAGAATGTATTAATTGAATTTAAATGGAAATCAAAGATGTCCGCAATGATTTATCAAACTTTATGACGAGTTTGTCAAGCGAATCAACTGCATTCGCGTTGGAAAATGGATTTTTTTTTTCAGTAAAAGTATCTTACACACAAATATGTAAAACGCACTTTTTTTCCTGGAAATTAATGTGTACTTTTAATATTGTTTTTACGGCGATCACTTATTGTTGTAACAATGCGAAAATCAGTCGATATGTTTTAGCCTCTAGCACTAAAATTCTAGCGCATATTAAAATAAAACTTCGTGTCAGCCTGACACCATTCTATGTTCTTCCTACAAGCAATTTTTATGCATTTCGTGTATTGAAAGGAATTATTTATCAGTATTTTTGCAATGCTATTCTTACGGCTAGCTTTTTGAAATAAAAACAGTCTACATTAGTGAAGCTAATTGCTAACAAATTCAGTCCAATAAATCCAATATTGAGCTTTGCAATATAAAGCGAACCTTTCCTGAAGGACCAGCCTTCATTGGAAATATTTCTACGAACTCAAGGTTATTATAGCGGACTCCAAGCCCTTTTTGTCAGCGGCCTCTTTGGGATTGAAAGCACCCCACAGCTTTTAGTTTTCGTAGCATCGCAAAATAAATAAATAAATAAATAAAAAAACGCTCCCAAACACACGATCTAAAACAACATTCTCAGGTTGTACTTTCGACAATCTCACAGTAGATTAAGTGAAATGATCACTCGACATAACCCTTCCCTTGTGTCAGACGTATGTATCAAAGCATGCATAAAACAGTTATGAATTACGACAGCAAAGTTGCCTCCATTTTTGTTTGAGCGCTTGACGAATATCAGTCAACCTCCAACAGTATAGAAGAGGGTTAAGAGTAGAATTCATAAACACAAAGGGAAAAACAAGCACGAAAAATCGAAGTCCATTCATGAACACGTTCTCATTAAATACAAGAGCTAGAAGACCAATAACCACTGGGCTGTACAGAAGAATGCTGAGTGCAAACACGAGCAATATGTTATAAGTTGATTTTTTGAATCTCGACATGTTTTGTAAAGGCGGTTCCTTTACCTGTGATGGATTCAGTTGGCACTGGATTTGCTTGTGGTGATGGCGAATCACAATCAAGATTTTGCAATAGCAAAAGACCATAAGTGAAAGACAAAACAATAATGTCGGAAAGACAATAAGACAATATAGTTGTATGCTGACAATAAGTAAAGATGAAATAGCAATGCAGAACAGCCACATGAAGCCACACACTCCTACAACGCGAAAGGTAGTGACACGGGCAGCATAACTTAGGTGAAGTTTTAAAGCGAGATATCGATCAACAGTTGCAGCAGTTATTGTCAGGAAAGACACGCTGGAGAAGATACTCGATAAAACGCAACAAGAATACACTGAAATGCAGATTAGTTGATGATCTAGTTCATAAACATGAGACATTAAATTAAAGATAACTGATGGAGAGCCGACAATAGCTATGGCGAGGTCCGAAACAGCCAGATTGAACAAGAACAGATAAGAAGGAGACTGCAATGTAGGGGTTTTCCATATCACCAGTAAAATCGAAAGGTTGAATATGACAGCTGGGATGATCTGAAGTCCAAGTAGAACCGAAGATGCGACGAACGACTCATACAGACGATGTCTATACTGATAAAACGGAGTGTACACATCGCATGAGTAGTTGATCATTTCTGGTACGACTGAGTAATGACAATGAGTCAAAGTCCAAACTTTCCGACCTTCCCCTTTCTGAATTAAATGAAAAAGAACGACATCTGCTAGCTGTTGGAGTAACCAGATATGGTCTCACACAACCAAAGTATACTAGCATGAGTGGATACTTAATGTATCAAATACTCTTAAAGCTATTGTGTGACCTTTGTTTCTTAAGAGAATTACCATGGCAGCCGAAAATTTGGAGTTAATAACACTCCACGTATACTGACTTATACAAGAGACAACACTTTAGACCAATGTGCATTGTATACAATTGGGTTTATATCTTCAATTTGCGAAGTGCCTAAAATTCAATTGTATGTTATGAGAGACAAATATTGAAATAGGTTAGTATGTGTTGGCGTCGTTTATATTCTAGTTTGAGAGGTAACTGGAAATGACATACGTTTCTAATATCTTTTCACATCCACTAGCCCATCTGTCAGTGGCGGTTAGTAAGTTCTTCCGTCCGCCTTTCTCGTCTATAAGAGACATTATCAAACGAATCGATACTTCGATGCCAATGCCTTTAAGAAAGTTGAAAGACGGTCAAGAGCTTCAACGAGCTTAGAAAAAATAGGGGTAATAAAAAGACATTGAATAAAAGAGTAAAACCAATATTCAAAAGAACCAACGGGTTTCAATTCCATTGAAACCTCGATATCGACAATACTCGTGAACAATATGACCAATAACAGAAAATCCAGAAGAGCCAAAGAGACTCTTCAGTCCTGCCCTTTAGAAATCTGGGTACCAGCAATTGAAAAGTATAACAAGACTGATACAATAAAAGTGAAAAGTGTCAAAGTGCCACTACAGTTCTTTAGAAACACTGAATATAAGCAATATCAAAGAAGAATAAGGCCGATACAAGTAAATTACAAAGATCCGAATAACCTCTGAATTTTTCTAAAAACCTTCCATCCCCCAGCAAATAACCTTGACACAGTGATGATATTTTAGCTCATTCTGTCTTCAACAAACTCCCAGTATATCTTAAACCCCTTTTTTCCTGTTCAGTGTTGATATATTAATTGTATTGGCTAATTTATTTTTCTTTACCATTCTCTACAGGTTTCGAAGTACAATCTAAGGTACTGATAATCTTATTCCTAATTCCTCAACTTTACAAAGTATAATTAAAAAGTACCCTTTATGAAATCATAGTTTTTTTTCCCGGACTCTGCATGTCAAAAAGGGATTGCAGAATATATATACACCCAATCTCGTGTATATGCACTTACTATTCTTACTATTCCATATAAGAAAAGCGACATGGTGTAAGGTCACATAGACACGCAGCCTGACTTCTTTTTGTCTAATATGCCACTGCCCTCCATCCATCCACATCGGCGTTGATCAGAAGATAATTGATCTCCCATACCACATCAGAAGATGATACTGCTATATCTGGCATCAGTACAAATAACTTCATCAGATTCGGTAAAATCATGAGATGCATGCACGAAGCTGCCGCCATTTCTGCTTCAGAGCCTGGCGGATGTCACTTAATCTCCAGCAATACAGTAGAGGATCCAAGGTGGAATTAGCAAAAAGAAACGGAAATATYAGCACAAAGAATCGAAGAGCATGTACAGTCGAGGTCTTACCAAAGTGAAAAGCGATAAGGCCGAAAACTACTGGGCTGTAAAGAAGGAYGTTTAAGACAAACACGAAAAAAATGKTATAAGTTGTGTTTCTCAATCTCAATATTGCCTGTGAAGGAGTATTTATTGTTTGAGACAAATTTTGTTGGCACTGGATTCTATTGCGATGACGGCGAATCACAACGTATAGTTTATAGTAGCAAAATATCATTAGAAACAAACAAAACACCAGCGACACAAAAACAACAGCAGTAAATATTTTTATGCTATAAGACCCTATAAAACAAAAAACAGCAGTTCCGAGCCAAATGAGAATGCAGACACCTGCCACGCGAGTAGTGGTCACATAAGTAGCATATTTTAGATGAAGCTCGACGGCAAGATAACGATCCACAGTTGCAGCAGTTATCGTCAAGAATGAAACGATAGAAAACATACTTGATAAAAACCCAGGTGATAACATTGAATTGCAGACCATTTGGGGATTCATCTCAAAGGCATAAAACATAAAAGTGGAAATAATCGATGGTGATCCTATGATAGCCACTGCTAAGTCTGACAAGGCCAAATTAAACAAGAAAATATAAGAAGGAGTGTGCAGCGAAGGTGTTTTCCTTATTACCAGTAAAATAGAAATGTTAAATATAACGGTTGGGATGATCTGGAGACCGAGAAGCACCGACGATGCGATGTACGACTTTTGCAGAAGATGTCTGTGCTGGTAAAACAGAGTAAACACGTAGCAAGAGTAGTTACTCATTTCTAAAACCAAAATACTTCACTTAAAATATTAAGCTTTTGGAGTGACCAAGTCGTACTCGCCTAGTGAATGGTTTCTGTAACGTTTCTTCGTCTAATAATGTGGGTAACGGATAAGATAACGGAAGGGCACTGACGGTGATTATATGATGGTAATTCATCACCACTTCTTGCTACTGCTTTGTATCCTTTGACGTTTAAGGGGATGCTGATAACCCGCACTTTTGAAAGGAGACAGCACTTGATGTATATTGAATCACATCAAAAGCGTCCATGATTGAGTTGCTAGATAATGCTAGACTGGACGTGTATATAATGAAATACATTAATTTTCAAGGAAAATACAGCAAGTACGATTAAATTCTTAGACTAACGGCATTCTAAAATTAGTACTATAGGAACAAAACGAAACAAAAACTGATATCGGTAGTAGGGAGAATAACTATGAAAGCCGACAATTTGACAAGTGAATAACACTGCACGTATACTAAATTATATAGGAGACGACTATTTAGCGAAATGCGTATTTTATGCATTGGGTTTACATCCTCAATTTTTGAAGCATCTAAAGTCCAATTGTTTTGTMGTCACCAAAATTAAAATTTGAATGTTATCATAGACCAGGTCCCTGCATAGACGAATATTGAAATAGGTTAGAATGTGTTGGCGGCGTTTCATACTCTAGCTTGAAAGGTAATTGGAAATGACATAAGTTTCCAATGTCTTTTAATAACCATTAGTCCATCTATCAGTGGCGGTTAGTAAGTTCTTCCGTCCACCTTTCTCATCTGTACGAGACATCATCAAACGTATCGATACTCCGATGTCATATGCCTTCAAGGAACTCAAAGAACCTCTATAGTTTCTGAGAAACCTTTAAAGCAATACAAGAAAATTGGAAGAACATCTTCTTTCCTTTAGAAAATCTTTATATTAGCAACTGCTGGGCAGAATAGACCAATTCATTCAGGTAAATTCAAAAAAGCTAAAAATCCTCTAAAGTTCCTTAGAAATATTAGAATCAGCAATTGATCCAACTGACAAGACAAGAAAATTCACAAGAGCCGAAGAACGTCTAAAGTTCTTTGGGAACCTTTGGAAATCCGGCCAATTACCTTGACACCGTGACTGCCAAGACAACCTCAACTTTCCTTACCCTTTCAGCTTAGACGTTGTGGCACTAAATACATCCATTCCAGTCCAGGAAGCCATTAAAAATGTATCTGACAGAATGGGATCATCCATCAACCATTTTACTAACGTCAACATCGCAGATCTACTAACACCATCGCCACTCAAAATGTTTATTTCAATTTTGGCCCACACATCTATCAGCAGAAGAAAGGCCTCCCTATGGGCTCAAGTTTATCAGGGATATTAGCCATCCTCTTTATGGACACACTGGAAAGCCAATCCCTCTCGGCCTGCGCATATATTAGCCAATATAGCAGGTACGTGGATGATGTCTACGCTCAAACCAGCGACCAACAGCATGCAGATAGTTTCCACGCAATAATGAGAACACAACAAAACGAAATCGACTTTGAGATCGAGAAACCTACCAAAACTCCTGATGGCCATTCCATCTCATTACTAGACTTCACCGTGTCAGTGAATAACGACGACTCGACCAATTTCGACTTCTATAAGAAGAACGCAAAGAAACCGTTATTTTTTTAATAATCGATAATGGTTCCCTAGACCATCCAAAGTCAACTTTGCTACAGGATTTGTTATTTTAATTGTCTAGAGTTTTGTCTTGTCCGTCGTAGACGCCTATTGACTATACATCTATTCATGTTTCGCTTGACTGCTTCGCTCTTATAATTCTATGCATTTTATCTCGCTCATTTCCTGATGATGCTGTAGACAGCGAAACTACTAAAGATCTACTCTCAACAACTTTGGCTACATATGCACTTTTCGAAATCATACAGTTTACTGCATTTCAGTTTTTTGTTCAACTTCAATATCTCGTTGTTATGAAAAAATCCCCTGTCTATCTTAGAAAGAAACTCTTCCTCTACCCAATGTTGGAGTGTGTGGTAAACTGCATGTGAATTGCATTGGGTAAGACAATATCAAACTGTGGAAGACGCTTTGAATAAAGAGGACACAAATGATTTGTACTTGTATGTTGTTATTGGGCAGGGATCACGCACTCTTCTTCATTTGCTCCCACTCTCGCTTTTCTTGCTTCCACAACAAGAAGCTCGTAACTCTAAGTGGCGCCTGTGGAGGAGGGTAAGTTTATAAGTATCAAAACAAAAGGACAAGTGATTGTTCCTCTCTCTGCATGGGAGCACGTCTCAAGGGCTTCATTGATCAAAAGATGACAGTAGCAGAAGAAAATATTAGTGGAAAAACAATAATCTCCGTGACATGCCAATGAAAAAGGATTCTGAATCAGAAGACTGTTCTCCAACTCTGATTATATTTAGTTTCAACATTTACAAAGCAGCTCTGAAAGAAAATAATCTAGAAAGTTTCTTAAATTTGATCATCAACGAGTTTGTAAGCTTCATGGTACATGTGAACTTGTTTATTGCTTATTTTATTTTTGTTGTTGTTGTTTTTGTTTTTGATTAATCAACTGTGCAACGTACCAATGATTGAAAAGATCAATAGATCAAACATGAAAGTCTTGCTCTTAGTCTGTCAAAAGAGATTGTTTAAAAAAAAAACAAGTTCAGATGTACCATGAAGAAAATAATCAATGACACAGTATAGGATTAGTAAATTTGCTCCTAAAGTTGTCGCCACCTCTGTTTGAGAGCAATGCGAATGTCATTCAGCCTCCAGCAATAAAGAAGGGGGTTGACTGTAGAATTGGCAAACACGAACGGGAATATAAGCACAAAAAATCGAACCTGATTTACAAACGTAGTCTCATAAACCGTGCTTACAATAAGACCAATAACAATTGGACTGTAGAGAAGAGTGTTCAGAGTAAACACGACGAGTATGTTATAAGCTATTTTTTTAAAGCTCGTCATATTTTGCGAAGGTGTACAATTTTCTTGTTGAAAATTCTGTTGGCATTCAATTTGATTTCGGTGATGACGAATCACAAGCAATATCTTACAATAGCAAAAAAACATCAATGCCAAGAGAAATACCAGCGCTGGAAAAACAACCAAGCAATAGATTTTCAAGCTCATAATCGATAAAAGAGGTGGAACAGCAGAACAAAGCCAAATGAGAACACAGAGGGCCACAGCACGAGATGTAGTGACATGTGTTACATAAGTTAGATGGAGTTTCAAAGCGAGATAACGATCCACAGTTGCAGCTGTAATTGTCAAGAATGAAACGCTGGAGAAGAGACTAGATAAAATACAAGAGGAATGGACTGAGACACAGACTAATAAGTGATCTGATCCATAAACATGAATCATAAATGTGAAGATAACCGATGGTGATCCGATGATAGCCACGGCTAAGTCTGACAGAGCAAGATTGAACAAGAAAAAATAAGAAGGAGTGTGCAGAGAAGGTGTTTTCCATATTACCAGTAAAATCGAAAGGTTGAATACGACAGCTGGGATGATTTGAAGGCCAAGTAACACCGACGATGCGATGAACGACTCATGTAGAACATGTCTGTACTGGTAAAATGAAGTGTATTCGCTACAGGAATAGTTCGCCATTGATGAAACCAGTTGAGAGCAACACAATCGCCTTTTGTCTCACTGAGAACCGCGGTAACACCTCGAGTCTATCACCCCATTTACAACGAACTATAGTCTGTGGTCATTGTTTTTGAATCACTGACAATCGCTGACACGGCCAAATAAAATGCACTTGATGCGGAGGGCGAATTTGTATCGAGCACTTAATTCAACAAATCGAGTGGATAAGTGTTTTTTAATTTTAAACAGCCAATACGTGTGAGTTGCTTTTTATTCACTGCAACAAAAGACGAATTGTTTTTGAAAGGACTATCAGCGTATTGAAAATTTCTGTTGAGTATTTAATCACGGCGAAATACTTGATGGACGCTCGTTCATCTACAACTGAAATATTATATTACCAGTTTACCATTATATATCTAATACAAATAAGCTGAGATAGCAATGCTGAACAGGTGCACTTCATTTCCTGTCTGCATCGAAGTATTTATCATCTTTTTTAATCACTTTTATTCCATATTTTATTTCTGTTGTTTCCATTTATGCGTAGAGCTCTAAATAATTAACGCTGTGTCTATATGGCCGGTTACCGGTCAAGGTCTTGAAAATGCTAAATGGCCGGCAGCCCATAAAAACGTCGCGCCGAAATTCGTTGCATTTTAGAGACATTGTGCGAACTTGAACCGACTGCCGGCCATGCAACAACGAAATCCTAAATGGCCGGCAGCCCATAAAATAACAGATTTCTCTTTTATTATTCTTATTTAAAGAGTTAAAACAACATAATCAACATTTCTGAAACTTTCATGGTACTGTACAGACATTTTTCTATTCGAGAAAGATCTCAACCAACACGACGGACTGCCGGTCACGCAACATCAAAGTCCTAAATGACCGGCAGCTCACAAAATAACAGATTTGTCTTTTACTATTTCTATTTAAAATGTTAAAACAACATAATCGACATTTCTGAAACTTTCATGGTACTGTACAGACATTTTTCTAATCGAGAAAAATCTCAACCAACACGGCCGATTGCCGGTCACACAAATCAAAGTCCTAAATGACCGGCAGCTCATAAAATAACAGATTTCTCTTTTATTATTCTTATTTAAAGAGTTAAAACAACATAATCAACATTTCTGAAACTTTCATGGTACTGTACAGACATTTTTCTATTCGAGAAA